GGGGGGGTTCACCTCGTCCTCCTACGTTGAGGGATGACGTTCTTGAGTACGGGTGCGCCGCTGGCCTGCCTCCAGGCCTGGGCAGGGATTGTGGTGGGCTGGTTCTGAGGACGACAGGCAGGGAGGCAGTCCTGGGTCTGGGGGGCCACCCCAGCCGCCCCTCTGTCCGCACAAAGGCGAGCACCACACCTGGCTTCTGAACAAAGGCGCGGCCACGCATGGCGCCGTCTGACGCCTGCCTTCGTCCGCGTAATCACTTCCCCCCGCCAGCTGGACGACGCCGCCTGGCGGGACCTGGCTGCCGCTGACTACAGCAGCCCCGCGGCCCTGGCCGGACTGCCCCTGACGGAGCGCTGGGTGGTGTCGTCGCTGCACCAGCTGGTGGACAGGGTGACGGCCTGCCAGGAGGGGGAGGACTTTTCAGAGGCGGGGCAGGTGCGCGGGTCAAGGCGGGGCGTGGGCGGTTCTTTAACCCGAGGATGGAGCTTTTGGGACGCTCTTGCCCTGCATCAGCGCGTCCCCCACTCGTAGTCAAGGACGTGATATTCGTTTGAGCGACCCTCGCTGCAGAGATGAGGCCTCAATGCAACCTACATACGGGCCCGCTCGTCGCGCACTCACCGCCGCCCCTGCACAGGCCCTCTACTCGTTCATCTGGGGGGAGTTTGCTGACTGGTGAGGCAGTGCTGGGCCTGCATTAGGATGGACTGTGTGGGCCTGTCTGCATTCGCTGCGGCTGTCTGTGCCGCCCCCTTCGCGACCAGGTCGCCGCATCGCACACGCGCTTCACCACCGGTATGAACAACCGCCCCTTTCGCCCTGAGCACTCCACAGCCCCACAGCAACGCCGCAAAAAGCCCGCCCCGGTGCTTGCACAGACGTCCGGGGCCACCCCGTGTCCCGTCAGCTGCCAAGATCTCAGTCAAACAAGCAGTTTGCTCTATACCTCCATTGTCGCCTTGACTAGCGACCAGCCGCAGCATCCCCGAGCCGTCGCCGCCATCTCACTGCCTTCGCTGCCACCTCAGTGCCTGCCACTCCGCTCCACTCACATTCAGACCCCTGAACAAGCCGCCAAACCAAAGCACCAAACCGCCGAACCACGCCGTTCACAAACCAAACCCGTGACCAAAGCAAACCCTCAATCAACGCATCAACCAAGCCACCAAACAATCCACCAATTCAACCCGCCAACCAACCTCCCCGTCGCCAAAGGTATGTCGAGGCGGCCAAGACCCGGATGTACGGCGGCGACGAGGCGGCCGCGGCGGCCACGCGCGGCGTGCTGGTGTACGTCTTTGACCGCCTCCTGCGGCTGGCGCACCCCTTCATGCCCTTCATCACCGAGGAGCTCTGGCAGGTGGGTTGGTTTGCAGGGGGGGAGGGGCGTGAAGAGTTTTGGGGGGACAGATGATAGTGACTGGCGATGTAGTCCTGGGTCTGGCATGAGTTGTGTGCGTTTGAGGTGCGGGTGGTTTGTGTGTGTGTGTGTGTGTATGTGTGTGTGTGTGTGTGTGTGTGTGTGTTTTCTTGTGCACGTGTGTGTGCGTTCATGCGCATGTGCATGGTGCGTATTGTGGTTGTGCATGTACCTTGCATGTTTGTGGGTGTGGGCACGCACGCACATCTCTCTGTGTGGGTGTATGGGTATGTGTGCGTGTGCGTGTATATGTGTGTGTGCACATGTGTCGTCTTGTATCCAAGGAACTGACATGTCCCTTCCCCCTCCTTCGCCTCCCGTCCGCAGGCCCTGCCCCACCAGGGGGATGCCCTCATCGCAGCCCAGTGGCCGGCAGTGGGGGCGGCCGTCGACTCCCAGGCGGTGGCCCAGTTTGAGGCCCTCAAGGAGACGGTGGGCTGATGATACGAGGGGTGGGGTGGGGGGTGGGGTGCAATGGCTACGACTACCCTCAAGAGGCAAGGTGTCCCATGTATTGTGTGCGTGTGTGCGCGTGTGTGCGCGTGTGCGCATGTGGGTGAAAGCATGTGTGCATCAAAGAGCGGAAATGCGCGGTTGTGTAAGCGTGTGTGGGTGTGTCAGAGCGCGTGTGTGTGTATCTGTATGGGTATGTACGTGTGCGCATGTGTGGGTTTGTGGGTGTGTCAAAAGGGAGGGGAAAGGTTCCACATCAGCAGAGTCCAAGACTTGGTATCCGCCGCACACGACCTGGCGGCCGCAGCTGTCAACGAGACGACTCTCGTGCACGCCCCAACACAAACGAGGCGCCTGCGGACACAAGCGCAGGCCCTCGCGCGCCCTCCACCACCTATGGCTGAACCACAAACACCCTCCCCGCCAATCGAGCGCCTTGCAACGCCCTCAAGCACCCCCGTCCGCCCGGCCCCATCATCATCAACACCACCAGGTCCGCCTCATCCGCAACGCGCGCGCCGAGTACGGCGTGGAGGCCGCCCGCAAGATCGGCGCCGTGGCGGTGGCGGCCGACCCCGGGCTGCGGGACGCGCTGCAGCAGGAGGCGGCGGTGCTGGCGCTGCTGGCGCGGCTGGACCCCGCACAGGTGCGGCTGCGGTGCTGCGGTGGGGTGCGGGGTGCCGAGCGTCGGGCCGTGGTTTGGCCGTGCGTTGGGCTGTGGGCCGGGCTGTGGCGCGGCCCGCTTTCCTGCGCTGCGCCATGTCGTGTCGAGTTGAAGCGCTCTGCGCTGCGCCGGGCTGCGCTGGGTCGTGCATGATCGATGCATGTACAGCCCCCTCTTGCTCCCTCTCATGGATTGCCAGGCATGTTTGATTAGTGCACCCAACACGGGCGTGCATGCACACGTGCAGACACCTGCGCGCACTCGGCAAACACACACACACACACGCACACACACACGCACATGCAGACACGCCTCCACAAACCCGCCCTCTTCAAACT